AGGACTAGACAGATGGGAAAGATGGTTTTCCAAATGGGTACCCAAGACTTCAGGGCACGGTATACTTCGCGGTAGCCCACACCGACAAAAGGGTTTTTCTTTGGGAACCCTAACCGGAGCCTTTGACTCAAAAGTCTGACCCATAAGGCAGTGGGGCGTAAATCCAATGTGATTCGCTACTCCCGGGGCTTAGGTTGCCGGTTACCATCACTGAACAGTAGGTCTTCGTGACTATGGGGTCGACCCCGTCTGCTGTTCATCACACCCTGGTGGGTAATAAAAAAAGAATGGTAACGATCGAATGGAAAACTGACGAATTCAACCGAGTGAAATATCTGCTTGGACTCAACCTATGGACAACACAGGTAATAATCGAAGGTTCTAGGCATTTCAACGAAAGATAATTTGATATCACTACACGTAAACGCAAGTGACGGAAACATGTATAACTCACCGTTATAATAAATTTCAAATGCTCCCGTGGACAGGAGTTGACCTTCAACCAAGTTGCCAACAAGGAAAGCCATCAAACAGAAGGACATCTGCAAGTTAAAAAGAAAAACGTAAGCTCCTCAACATAGGTTGACACCAACAAAGATTGATCCAGGCTCTTACCATTTGCAACTATGCGTAGGTTTCCGCATACTACAATCGATAAACTACACCTATATTTTCAGGTTTACCATTCACAACCAATAATGCATTCTACCGTTTGTAGGAACAGGACTACATAGGACGACGACGAAGTAATTTTCCCCTTCATTATACAATATCGAAAATGATTAAAGGAAATCAGCGGCACCGAGTGCCACAAAAAAATGGCCCGCAGCAATTTCAGTTTGAATAACCATTAACCGTGCACTTTCATGCGCCGGTTTTGGTTGCTGTCTTTTAGCTGCTCATAAGGAGAAACTCAGGAAAGTTTAAAGTAGAACCGAATAGAAAATGGAGGATTTCAGTGGACTTATGTTGCCACCGTTTACGGGTACGATCGTCCCGGGATCTCCAGCCGGGAAACCTAACGCCACCCATATGACCAAATCTCCTGGTTAGGGTTTTCATGCCCTTAAGCCAGGTCTTAGCTTGACCACTCTCGGCTTCATTCCACTCAGTACTTGCCTCAGCGAACGTTGCTTGTTGTGGCAACCTATCTGGTGACGCGTAAAACATGCCTCAACCAACGTAATATATGGAGGTTGACCACTTGCGACCGCAGTTACTCAAAACCCTGCGCCGAACCTCAGCATTGCTCATCCGGCTGACCCACCAGATTCGTGCAATGCTACGTAGACAACGGTGTTCAAACAGCAACAGTCTATCTTTATCCTGTTTTCCTAATGGTCAAGTTTCTGCTCCGTATAGAAAACTGGCCGAACTGCCGAGGCACATACTCGACCCTTCGCGGACAGCTGGATGTTGCGACGGTGCCACAGATCTCATGTTGGCAAATACCAACCGAGCCTTCTGTATGCGAGCTGACACTTCATCCGTGATGCGTTCACTGGGTGAGATGTAGCTGCCCAAATAACAAAACTTACCCACTTGCTCTATTAATTTTTCAGTAAGGGCGAGGCTAGGTGCTGGACCAGCCCAGTTTTGTAGCAACATTTTAAACTTTGAAGGTGCAAAACGTACACCAAACACGGCTATGATAGCACTCAAGCTATCCAGGAAAGCTTGCAACTTATCTGCGTCTTCATTTAGCAGTACAATGTTGTCTGCATACTCCGGAACAGAGTCTCCGTCTGGGAACAAATCGATGCCAATATCCTCGCACTTGGATAGAGTCGTTTCTATAATCAAATCTATGACAAAGTAGAATATGAACGCAGAGTGGGCAACCCTGACGAACGCAGGAACGGAACACCTTTGGCGTAGATGCGACGTTTCACTGAAGCTGAAAGGTCGTGTATATTGTGTTACCGTTCGTTCAGTTCTGCTTTCTGGTTGAAACATTCAACTTGCGAGTAGATATCCATCCACTATGGGTTTTCCATTACCAGTGTTTACATAGATTAATCCACGCAGAGTGGAGCGAAAGAGGTAAAGAGGTAAGTCGTCATGTGCTTAGGAGTCTATCAGGAACACACTAGCTAGGACATCGAATTCAGACAAGGAGGCTTCGCTGGTTAAGGCACGTTTTGTGTAAACCCAGCTGTCATCTGCCGCACCACGCTTTATGCGCTGTAGTCGGGCTGGAGGAAACAACGTGAAGGTCAAAAGATGACGTGAAAATGAGGCTTGAGAAAATGCACGGAGCGCTTAGGTAGAGTAGGTCGTCCTCCGGGTTGAGGTCCGCAACTAGAGCATTGGAGATACTGAACGTCATGGCAGCAGAACAACAGCCGTGGAGATCTTGGTGTCACTTTTCACAGAACAGAATGCTTGAAATAGTGTGTACACAATTGGTGTATTGTGTTGACAACAGAGGTTCACCTTCCTCCTCCCTCAAAATAGATCCGAACCCCGTACACCTTACCACTTCGCCACTAACCTTGTATGCATGGCGAGTTTGGCAGCTCAGTTAAGTTCACTACACTGTATTTCGCTGTACGATGGTGCACAGATCAGTTCGGTGCCTGGGACGTTGACGGCAGCTTACCAGGTCTAGTTTATTGCACTGGTGAGCTCTAAGGATCTCCCAGTGCTGCGACAAAATGATGAAAAAATTCATCCTCAATGGGCTACATGTAGAAGGATGACAAGGAGAGAACCCACAGACGCACCACTGCACTCCGATGATAAGTTCAGTATTGCGCACTGATCCCTTCTATGAAAGGGCAACTCAAAATTTGAGGCTATAGTCCCTCAGACAATATCACTTCGAGAAGAGTTAATCAGAGTATTTACTTTAAGACTGAAACCCCCACTCAATGTTTTACAGGTAATCACCGCCAGTTATGATAGCAGTTGAATCACGATAGGGTTTGGAAACCTATCATGTGTTCGAACGACGGGCACCTGAAAGGTATGGGAAAGAGCGCTCTATACCAAGAAGAATAATAGGTCGCTACTGTATTCGAATAAGCTAAATCGAACCACATATGTACCAAAGTGGATATCCAAAACGAGCAGTCAGTTTACTATTATAAATCAAAGGAGTTTGCACAGGGATTGCCACAAGAATT